TTGCATGATTTATCGCAATAATGCAAATATTTCATGTTTATCCTCCAAATTAAGTTTAGTCGGGCATCATTATCAGAACTCGCCCTGGGCAGCAGAAAAGTTTAGCACGCCCCAAGTTGTAGCATACACAAATGCTTCTGTATCAATAATCGGAAATTTTATTTTACTCGGGCTTTTTACAAATATAATGAGCGTAATTGGAAAACCAGTAAAACAGGCGGTGATCGCTGTTCGGTTGGCCCATGCTTGGAAACAAATGGTCCAATATCCCAGCGCATTATCACAACGGTATTTAAATAATAAATTTGAAAATGGGTTCATATTCACAAGGTAAATAAGCAGGACAAACCCATTCCTTCCTGCTATAAATTTCAATATAGCATAGATGAGCAAGTAGGTTTTCAGATTTAGTAGATACGATTGTCTATATATAAATGCCACAGTGTTTGAATGGTCTGTATATACAATTGTTAAAACGTATGTTTGAACATTACTGGACATTGGAACCCAGATAGAAGTGGTCGTAATGATTCTCCACAGGGTTAGAGTAGTGGGTATTAGACGGCGAGCTGAGTCTCGTATCGTTTGAAACATTTGCATTCACTACATATTGAGGCTCTTAGTAGAAGATCATGCCCAGGAGGAAGAGGGTGCTAAGAAATTGAAACTATCTCAAACGAAAGCTGATATATTATATGATGTTTATCGTTTAAATCAGTGCTCTTCAACCTTTTTGTTATTGTGGAACCCCTGAAAATTTTTCGTTTTTATGAAACCCCAATTAACAAAATTATAACAAACACGTAATAATTGTAATTCAAATATTTCTACTTCAGCAACGAAATAGAAAAAAGGTAATAAGCGTGAAATTCAATGACTAGGTTGTTCTTGCATTTCCTTTGCAATCTTCTTGAATCGTGGATCCACAGCGCTCAATGCAATTCTCCTATTCGTGTCTACACTCTTTGAACAAATTCTTTTTTGTTTTTAATAGTTGTTAAAGTAGAAAATGCTGATTCACACAAATAGGTATTGGGAAATTGACACAAAAGTTTTATTGCTTCTTTTACAGTTGCTGTACCCTCTTTGTGAAAAGAAATCCAAAAATTTTCCTTTCCATGTTTTCGAATGTTTCCTCCAAATTAATATCATTACGGATATCTAGGTGTCCTTCTTATTGTTGCGAAGTGAAAATAAAAGGAATAACAACCCAATCCAGCGATCTGAAAATATCGGATTCTTCTTCAGGAAAATACCGAGTGAAATTTTTCTCCAATAGCTTCAAATGATCCAACACTAATTTCTTTATTTCAGCTGTATCCTCAACTTCGGAGTACTCACTTAGAAATTAATCCAAAAACCGAAAAGTAGAATAATCATTTTTTGCAACTTTACTGACCCAACAGTCAATTTGTTCTTTAAAGGCATCAATTTTTACAATCAAAGAAAATACGTCTGATCTTCTCCCGTGAAGACTGGTGTTAAGCGTGAACAGCACATCGAATATTTAAGCCAGATATGCCAGTTCGGAAACCCATTCATTATTCAGAAAATTCCTTGGATATCTATGATTTTTTTCTGTGAGGTAAAACTGATATTTTCCGCCTTAATTTGAACACACGAGCCAAAACTTTGCCACGAGACACCCAACGAACCTTTGTATGTAACAGAAGAGTCACATTATCAGCATCCATTTATTCACACAGTTTTTCAAAAACTCTGGCGGATTTTTTTACCACCACATTTTATATAATTCACAGTTTTTACAACTACCTCCAAAACGCTTTGTAGTTCCGTTTTTACTTGCTTATCAGAACCTAACGGTTTTACAGCCAGAGCTTCGCGATGACTTGACACGAACACCCCCAAATCCCGAAAAGCGTCCAGTCATTACAGCTGCACCGTCTGTAGTTAGAGAACAACACTTTTCCTATGGTATTTGTTTTTCTGTCATGAATTCGTTAAGTTTACAAAAAAATTGTCCAGCAGATGTATTCACATTCAGGTCTAGACAACACAAATATTCATCAACAGTATTTTATGAATCAATATCAGAAATTCTTATATACACAAGCAATTGTGCCCTATTCCCAACATCGGTTGATTCATCCAGTTGCAGTCCATAACATGGAACTTTTCCGATTTTATTTACAAGTTGTTCCAACAAATCTTCGGCCATACAAAATCCTCTTCTGCTTACAGTGGTATCGGAGAGAGGTATGCTTTGTAACTTGCGTTCAGTTTTCTTGTCAAGGAGTTCTTCTGCTACTATTTGCAACGCAGGTTTAATAATTACCTCAGCGAAAGTAAACGGATTCTTTGTTTTGAGAATATGACGCGAAATTCGATATGAAGTTAGTAGTTTGTAGTATCTACTCTCTCTAGTCTCGGGCAATATCTACAATGTAGATTCTACATACTTGAACATCATGTAACTATGGTGCAACAATAGCGTTCTTGTTAGTTGCATGAAAATGACTAAAGTGAGGCAACAACCGAAAATATTTCTGTTTTGTCTATTAACTGCACTGTGACTAAACCTCCCTTAAAACGAACTGGCCTACTTGGAGTTTGAATGAGACACGGTGGTCTAAGAATATTTATAATGACGCATCAACATGCTGAAAGCAAGAAATGATTTCCCCTGAAAAAAAAAATTAGGGAATTCCTAAGAAACCCTATAAACTCACGAAACCACTGCATGTATTGCGGAACCCCTGTAGACGATCACTGGTTTAGATCGTATTTAGATCATTCAACTAAACTAAGTCGGTTTGAGGCGATTTTTTCTTTTCAATATTTTCGAATTAATCATTATCTCAACATTTGATCGTGAAATTCATAAAAATACTTCAATAATTAAGCGGATAGCTTTTTGGTAATGTAGTCAAGCATCTGTGAGATGATTGGGCAATAATGAGATTTTAGAATGGCATTATTTATGTATATTTGCCAAACACCAGATATACAAATATGTGCTATGACTATTAATAGTTTTAACCACTTGCCCACGCCAAATGCATTACGAGAAAAAATTTTCGTACTTTTTGCGGTCCACTAATTCTAAACTTACGAACCATGTGCCTAAGATACGGATTGTTAAAAGCACAGCCCACGCATAAAAGTAGTACGAGCCATTATATATGCCATATTTGGTTGTGCAGTAAACATGAGAATTCTGTCATTACTCAGAGGTCTCTAGTTATGGTCTTAAAAAAACAATCACACGGTTTGTTTAACTTTCTCGAATACAAATAGTTTCGGGCAGAGGTAACGGCTGTAATGACTGTGTAAATTATTTTATATCGGCAGTTACTTTCATTCTAACCCGGTATGGGATGCAACGGTTTATCTAGCTGTATATTGTAGAATTTCAGAATGGTTATTTATTTCTGGTACACCTTTTTATCTAATACATAGGTTTTGCATGAAATTTAATCAAAGTAAATAATGCCAGCGATAGGAATCGACTTGGGGACAACAAAATCTTGCGTGGCAGTCTTCCGACATGGAAGGGTATGTATACTAGTGAGAAAACATATAGGTAATGAAATTCTAATCATGGATCAGTTGCGTATGTACAGTCAAAATATGAATATAAGGTTTCCTTATTAATAAAATAGCCGAGGGTCTTTTGTCGTCTTAATCCTGTCATCATATAGACTTCATGTTAAAAATGGGGATGCATATATATTCCTCATAGTTATTTGAATAATCTTTTCTGCCGAGAAAAATTGGAATGACGTGTACTGTATACTGTAGGTTTGAAGGCGAACAATTCTTTTTGATTTAACCACGTAATAAACTTGTTAAAAGACATTTAATTTGTTTAGTTGGACTGATCGTAATGTATGATCGTTTGATATATGAACAACAACCATTTGGCAAAAAAATGTATATGTAATGTTGGAATTATAGAACGTATTGATGTATCACTGCCATAATTGAAATTTATAGGAGGTCCTATAGCAATCACTGTGAAGCCAATTTGTACATAAGGGTGTAACGTAATATTCTGGATTATCAGACGCATTCTGTTTCAATTAAACATGTCGCCCAATGATTTTTGTGGTTTTTTATAATTTACCTGGTAATATTTTTCTTTAATTGCCAACCAGTGGTTAAAAATTAATATTGTCGCTCGGCGGTTATTAATTCCATTTGTTCCTGACTTTATTATGAATCCTGAGATTTTACCGAAAATTTCATTTTCAATTTTTATTCATGTGAACACGGTTTTCATTCCGGAAAACGTGACGACTGTCATCCCTATTAATCTTGCGAACTCGTGTTATGCGAAAGCTGAAAGTTTTTCGATACTGGTAAGTGGTAACACAGTGTATACTAGGTACGGTAAGTTATTTCGTGCCCATATATTTGAGCATTGCTCTCTTGTTGTATACACCAAGAGGATTTATGATAAAAGGACTTCGAATATTTGGATTTGGTACTTAAAATATCAAATATTCAAAGTTTTTGGATGAAGTGGCCCAATAGATTATTTTGCTCAATTGATGTTATTGTTCTTTAAAGCTGTGGGGTCCGAATTAAACGATGAGCAGTCACAAACAATTCCATTTGTGAGGCTTTCTTTTATCTATCCATATTGCTAATGGTTCTTCGCAACTACGCCATGAAACTACACAATTTAGTTTGACTTTCCACTAATTAAAGAAGTCGACACGAAATTCACATATATATCGTTTAGTCAATATGTGATCAAAGAGTGTATTCTTCAATAGAAGGTTATTTATTATTTTTATTTAATTCAAATTTTCTATGGCCTCTTTGGTATTCGTTTTTTGCGTGCGATGACGCAATCTAAAATTGCGCACTTTGTGGCTTTGGTTCCGCTTCCGCCTCACTATGACCACATATTCATATGATCTACCCTGAGGTGTTATTCATATGAGCGCGATTTTGATGTATCTTCAATTAGATACTTTGGTAAGAGGGGGTCTTCATGTGATCCTAATTTTCATTTTATCTCGCAGGTTGAAATCATCGCCAACGATCGCGGAAATCGTGTTACTCCGTCCTATGTGTCATTTGAGGGAGGCGAAACACTAGTAGGTGAAGCAGCTAAAGAAGACGCAACAGACAATTACGAAAATACTCTGTGTCGTAAGTATTTGCAATTCATTGGCACAGTTTATAGATGGCGTAGGGTTTAAAGTTTACCTTGGACCATTGCTTCCTAAAATCTTCCGTCAATCGGTACTAATTGAATAATATAAATCGCTCCGGTACTCCCAAAATTGTACTGTGTGCTACGATTGTACAGAATAAGTCGCGTAAACTTGGTAGTTACTGTAGATAAAACTTCTCCTGGGTTGAAAATATGACTTCATGAGGAGTTACAAATTATCAACATTAGGTGACAATAAATATTTCAGGTCGAAATCACATGTACCCAAGTTTGGGGACCCCTGGTTTGAACTATCATAATGAAACTGCTGGTAATTAAAATTGGGTTCAGACACCTTGCACTTAACTCGCATAAACATTCAAATAGTTAACTCACCATATCAGGTAAGTTTAAAATATTGTGTCATTACGCAATTAAACAACAGAATAAATTCCTAACAGATCAAATCAACAAAAAATTCAAAGTTTAAAATCAATACAACAAGCATACTTACGTAGTCACTAAAACGATGTCCATTTTAATTTTAGAAATCAAGCGTTTGATCGGACGAACCTATGATGATCCTTTGGTTCAAGCAGATATGAAATTATGGGGATTTAGCGTATTTAACGATGATAACAAACCTAAGATACCGGTGAGTATTTTTTTGAAGCAATACAAATAATATTAAATTGCAGTGAATTAAGTCAATTATTTATCAAGGTTATCCATAGCGACGAAAGAAAAATGTTCTGCCCAGAACAAATAAGTGCGATGGTGCTGGAAGAGATGAAAAACACAGCTGAGGCATTATTGGGTGAAACCGTAACTGATGCAGTCATTACAGTTCCTGCATATTTCAACGATGCACAACGAAGAGCAACTAATGATGCTGGGGTAATCGCAGGTCTCAATGTCATTGGCATGATCAACGAGCCGACTGCTGCCGCTGTGGCGTATGGACTGGATAGAGAGGTATTATATACACAGCTTGCATATTGGCTGTATATGCCTCTCAAGATGGTGGGATATGCTTATTTCAATTGGCTTTATATGTATAACGGATTGGTTGCCTGTATACGCGTATGCATATCTGATAAGCTTCATATGCCTGTGGACGCGCGTATATTCCTAGTTAATTGGCTGTATATATATACATAATTGTATGGTTGTATAGGCATTCGGGTTGGCTGTAAATGCATGTCGCGTTTTCAACACCACTCAAATTAGATTCCCCGAATCTAATACAAATACAATTTGTGATGATCCAATCAAACAGACAGATAATTCGATCAAATTAACATATATATGTATTTTTTTAAGCCAGTTTGCATATAATTACCTTTCAAGCAGCTAGAAAACTAATGTAAAATTCACACTAGATTTATTATCTAAAAAAATAAGCAATTTTTCTGGTACTTAACAAGTAACATAAAGGGAACTGCGAGTAGCTTCAAAGCATATAAAATAGTTTAATAACTGTATACCTACTTTTGGGCTACCTACTTTTGGGCCACCCTGTGTATATATGTATGTATTATATAAATAATTTTAACGCTTATCACACAGAGCGATAATGAGCGGAATGTTCTCATATTTGATCTCGGAGGAGGCACTTTCGACGTAACCATCGTGAATATTGAAGGCCGCAAGTTTCACGTGAAAGCAACGGGAGGTGACACTTATTTGGGGGGTAAGAATTACCTCATAACATGCTTTATATGATAGTTTAGTAAATTAGTGTAGGCATTTTTACTACACCGTTAACCTAATAGTTTAATATATTTATTATATCATTTATTTGAAAATGGGCATCATATTCAACTTATGTCATCCTCTACTGGTTTAGATTTTACATCATATTCAACTCACATTTGTCTATGTACAGGTGAGGACTTTGATAACAATCTAGTGGAGCATTTTGTTTCCGAGTTCAAAAAAAAGCACGGTGAAGATATAAGAGAAAACAAAAGAGCTTTGAATCGTCTTCGGGTAGCGTGCGAGGCAGCAAAAATAAATCAACTCAATCTTTTCCACGTTGTAGAGAGTGTGCTAATAAAAACACTTTTGTAATTCCGTAGTGAAAGATGTTTTCTATTTAATACTCCAGATATAAGGCTCAGTTCAAATTTGTTTAAGATTGAGAATACATTTCAATCTATTTAAACTTAATTTCAACTGTTTTTCAAGAAAATTTGTCAAGCTATTTACTTGGTGAACTGATTTATGTCTTACCTATGTCGTGCTATTACTTTCAGAATTCAAGTCGATGCTCTGCAAGGCGGGTTCGATTTTTGCAGCAACATTTCACGAACAAAATTCGAAATTCTGAATCAAATATATTTTGAAAGAGCTCTTGATACCGTCGAGAAACTATTTCCAAATCTGGAATCAAAAAGGAAAGGGTGAGAAACCCACGAAAGTACTGATTTATTGTGAATTTTTTTTTTGTAATCTGTTTCAGTTTGACACCAGTATCGATACTCAGTTATTGAAGCCGAAAAATACTTTTTTAGTAACTTGTATGGTAATCTGAAAACTGATGCTCCTTATGTGCGGACAAAATTCCAAATTCTTAGATTAAATAATTATTAACAATTAATTGACGGTGCGCTATATGGCCTGTAAAATATGGTATATTCTTATTTTCAGATTGATGACGTTGTTCTTGTTGGAGGTTCCACACGAATTCCTAAATTTCGAGAAATGCTGGAAAAGTATTTTGACCACATGAAGCCTAAAAAAACCATAAATCCTGATGAAGCAGTTGCATATGGCGCCGCCGCATATGCGTTTTCACTTAGTTCTAATAAAGATCCTACTGCAAGTACAAATAAGGAGAAACATCCTGTAAGTAAGCGTTTTTTGTCCATGTCGTCCGCTATATTTCTTATGTCTTTGACTTGTCAATTTATAAGTAAGCTATGAAAGCAAATCGCGCCTCATACCATATTGTTGTTCTAAGATCGTAAGTACAAAAACTAATCGAAATCAAGTTTTAAATTTATTCATCACGAATTTCAGTTCGGATTTATCTCAATGTTACTGATGGTTACACAGGGAACATTTTATTTTAAAACAGCGAATATATATATATATATATATAATTTGGTAAACTTTTTTTTAATATTTCAGATGGATGATTTTGCTCTTAAAGATGTTACTCCACTTTCGATTGGCATTGAAAATCGTGAACAATTCATGGGAGTTCTTATACACAGGAACACGGCCATTCCAACCAAGGTATGGGAAATCCGACATACCTTGAAAGATAACCAAGAAGAAATGACGATAAAGGCAAGTATACATAACATTTTACTATATTATACATGGTATGATATACAACAGGTGTGGTCAACACGTCGATCGCCACGGCACGAGTAGTCGATCGCGTCTCTGATGTTGAGGGAATTTCTTTACATACCCCAAACATTGTTATAAACCAGTTTCATGCAGCGCCTGTGGTGTGTGTACTGTACATGCGCAAAATACGATATACACTTCAGTGACTGCATACACAGTATTCAAGTCTGGACAAGACTGATAGAGGATAGTTTTAGGTAACAAATGCAAGTTTCGCCGCTGTCAAGGCTTAGGAATGGACAAAATACAAATTTTGTGCAGTACTCACTATTTTTATGTGTATGACTTTATTACCAATCAGTCAATTGCGAACGATTTTGAATATTTTAGTTCAGGGGTCGGGAACCCATGGCTCGCGAGCCATATATGGCTCTTTTGGTGACGGCATATGGCTCCCAGAAAAATCTATTATTCTAAGATTAAGCTTACTATTGTTACTAGACTTCAAACTATCTTATGGCCAAATTTGGCAAAAAATTCCCAATACGTTTGACAACGCGGGCCCAGCGCATGTCTATGTTATTTAAGAGACTTACTAGACAGGCATTGTGACAAAACATGGGGATTCTGGAACATATATTGTGACATCACAAAGCGATAGAGTTTTAAAATACTACGGAGATGCCTAAACGAAAAAGGGTGATGAGTATCGTAGATTTCAACTTGGGCTGCATGTGGGCAACCGTTCAAGGCCCGCAGCGACAACTTGCAGCATCAGAAGTCACGTTAAATGTATATTGACATTGTATGTGTTGATTTTTGAGTAAAAATTTCAGGCCTGATTAAGTGAAGAAATGCTATATGGCTCGCACGGTAATGTAATTGAAAATATGTATATTTTAGGGCTCTCTTGACCAAAAAGGTTCCCGACCCCTGTTTTAGTTGAATGCGAGTTGGCCACTTCAGCTATACAGAGTAGCTGAAATGAATATTTAATAATTTTTCTGATATTTCACAGATATTTGAAGGCGAGCGCACTCTGACAAAAGATAATCATTTCCTTGGGGAATTCACCATTTCGGGAATTCCCCCTGCGCCAAGAAAAGAAGGAATAGTCAGAGTGGCGCTTGAAATTGATGCAAATGGGATTCTTCACGTCTCTGCTGTTGAAAAAATTACTGGAAACTCGGGTAAAATAACGATTTCAAGAGATAAAGGACGATTGAGTGAGAAGGAAATTAAAAGCATGGTAGGCTATGGAAATATTTTCAACTTTTACTAAATTGACCAGAAAAAAATTTGTTGACAGCAGAAACGTGAGAGTGCAAACTTGACTCTCTATTCTTTTATATCGACAATGCTATTTTCAATAGTCAGATCGAGGAATATATGTAAACAATATAATATCGAAATGAGTTCCGTGGTGTGGCGGAACAAAATTGCAGCCAAACTTTACCTGCCGTGCATTAACATGATAACAAAAATATCTTCCTACTTCTGACATGCAATAACCGTGTTTACCCGAAAATAAGACAGGGTCTTATACTTATTTTAATTTTCTTTCGAAAAAAAACAAAGCGCTTTTTTGAGGGGATGTCTTTTATTTTCATTTAACAAAAACAAAGTAGTAGAGAATTACGAGATTTCCACATATACTAAATAGATAAATAAATAAATATAAAAAAAAACTATAAATCGTCCAATTCCCTCCCTCTGCGTAGGTAGAGGAAGCGGAGAGGCTTAGACAAAAAGACCAAGAATTAAAACAGCGAAGCAAGGCAAGGAATGCGCTTGAAGATCACGCGTACAGCTTAAAAAAGGGAATGGACCAAAAATATCGAACAAAACAACAAAGAGAATCTATAATGAGCAAAGTGACTGAAATTCTTCAATGGTTGGATATAAACAAGGTAATTGTTTAAAAAGATCAATAACTTTTAATAATTCTTAACTACAACTTTATTCGTAGTAGCTTTAAAACTAATCGAACCAAAAACATACGGGCGGGGTAAAATCAAAGTCGAGTGAGGTTTCTCATTGTAATTATCGGTGATTCTATGTAACCTCTGAAAGCTGAAAAATATATGCTTATTCATATGAAGTGTGAAAACAGATTTGGTGTTTTTTGCGTGATTTTAAAACTTCGGTGTAACGTTTTGATAAAGACACAAAATTCAAAATTTAGATAGCCGCTTAGAAGTTTCATAAGATATTTAACCCATCTTTATTGAAACATACATATTAAACACGCATTTGTTCAGGATGCTTGCATTTACTATAGATATAACATAGACATCATAAATCATAGCACGAAGCAACATGCAGATAGAGAGAGATCTCAACAGTGACGTTACCAACATAAATGAAGCATCAATATTGACGTCATAAATATCATCATATGGCTGAATGACTGCCCAATTTTCTTTTACATCGTGTGAATGCACGAAGCCTAAAATTCATTAGGTCAACTAATACCCATTTGCGCACTTTCAAAGTTTATACAATTTTACCATTTTTATTCAGAATAAACTGCCGGTATTTTCTTTTACATCGTGTGAATGCACGAAGCCTAAAATTCATTAGGTCAACTAATACCCATTTGCGCACTTTCAAAGTTTATACAATTTTACCATTTTTATTCAGAATAAACTGCCGGTAATGTCTGAATTGGAAGCGAAGAAAATGGAATTGGAGAGATTAGTTAAATGAGTTAGTTTATAATATACATATATACTGATCTAATGATTGTAAAAATGCTTAATATCTTGCGGACACTCTGGAGCAAACTTATAGAACACGATCCGTTGAGTTATTGGTCTGAATTATTTGAGCCAGCAATTTGATTTTTGGTGAATGATTCCGACCAAGTTCTGTTTACAAACGTTCCCTTGTTTTAGTAATTTTCTTTTAAATCTCAATTTCATTCGTTTGAACATTGTAAATAAAATAAGCCGTAGAATGAAACATATAGTAATGCTCAGGTGGTATTTATTTAGAGATAGACCGATAGAATATATTTATGTAGACATAACTGAGGTATGCTTCAAGAAGCAGAAAATATTTCATAAAAGAATCGAAAACCGAGAAAACTGCTTTTTTAACAGATGTGTGATGTGCGTGTAATGGCGCACACAATTCAGTGAATATCAAGTAATGTACGACATTACCCTCCTGATATTGGGGGAAAAAGGTAATTGCTTGTGGTAAACAAAGCTTCGATGCTTGATATGTCTTCAAGTTGAGTCCATGCCAAAAGAATAGAATTTTAAACGGAATGTTATCATTGTTCGGGAGCGCTTCATTTATGACAGCAATTACTTCGTTGTAAATAGTCTAGGACTAATGTGGCCCGCTAAGAACACAAAATTAATATTATGGCGGACGACCTTTTACCACCCTGGGCTAGGTCTTATTTTGAGGAGAGGGTTTATATTATAATCATTTTTTAAATTCTTGCTAGGTCTAATTTTCGGGGAAACTTGGTAGGAAAATCTGGGTTTGACATAGTACCCCAACCACAAGTACTTAAAGGTCAGCGAGGCTCAACAATTCTAACCACTATCTTACTGTGAAATTTAAAATTTACGTATAAGAGACGTAATAAGGGCTTTTAAAACTCGAAGACAATCACCCGAAATCGAGCAAGCTACATCGTCTACACCAGTGGATCCCAAACTTTTTGAGCCGCGCCCTCTTTGAAAAATTTTACAAACATCGCGCCCCGCCCCTCTTTTTGCTTTGAAAATATGCTTTTGTGATGGGCAGGTAGTATTAATTAAGATGGCGCCTATAAGAATGTTGGTCTCATAGCGTCATTGCTCAGATTGTTTAGGCATAAAACGCTTCGGAGGACAACTTCGCCATTCACTGTCGTATGTATAAAGCCAAATAATGGTTGGTCATCATACATTCTCGTTTTTCCCCTGAGTTTGCAATACCTGATAGAGTCAAACTAATTTTTAAGTAAAACTAAACACGCCATAAACCTATGCTTCAATGTATTTTCTGCTTAAACGTTTACATAAAACACGTAAAATTTCAATCAATTGTTTACTTCATCACTATTGAGTGATGCCAAAATTATTTACTGTGTGTTAAAATTAAGCAACAATTACAGACTTCTTGGCTTGCCTAAAGTTTCAAACAAAATGGAATGTAAATTTAAAAGCAGTTCATTTTTTAATAGTTATTATGCATGTGGACGTTTCCCCGGCCCTTGACCGCTGAAAATAAAGTCGCCAAGGCGTTTGCGATTGCATTTTGTTTAAATTTCGATTGTTTTCGTAAGCGTGGCCTGCTATTTAAGCCGTAAAAATCTTGATTTGGTGTTTTTTCGCCCTAAATCGGAAATTTTCCTTCGACATATTCTTGTGTCGCGAAGACAATTATATTTACTTTTTTTGTTTTCGAATAGAACCATGACACCTCTGAGAAAAACGAGTTAGTTTTTATTAATAATCATCATATGCGACGAGATGTTAAAGATAGAACAAAGTAGTGAATCTGCAACCAAATATTTCTTTATTGTAAAAGCGAGATTATAAAATACTAAAAATAAAACGCAAAACATCAAGAGTTTTGTTTTGGAGTGGACCGCGACAGATTAAAAACAATTCCTTGTGCCTGCGGCACACCAGTAGTGTTCTAAAACTACCGACTTGAAATAAATTTCTCTCCACAAAGTCGGCTCTTATAACGACTGGCGTATTCTCGAGGACTGACTCAGGATTCGTACCGCGGGGATTTCGAGTCGATGAATATGTATTTTAATTGTACTAAATTAAGTATACTTTCTGGGATATTATACCAGATCATTCTAATGAAGACAACGAATTCGCATGAGTGCAATATATTTCAAAACTAAATATAATCGGGCAGTTGATCATACCTAAATATGTCCGCAGATTGGCGTGGTATTTTAGATCGGTAATGAGTTTATTTTGACATGAGTCGCCGCAACAATAAGATAATGTGCACGAAAAACTAAAACATTCGAATGAAATCATAGGCGGAAAACAACGATAATACGTGCAATACTCAATTAAGGTGGGCACTAACAATTTTTATATTTGTTAGTACGACTTAACCGGAATACCGGTAGGTGCTCGCCACTAATAAAGTCTAGTAATACTGTAATAATTAGTTCAGAAGATCCAATGTGCTGCAAAGACACACAAATAGGTTCGAAGTTCACGATGCAAAAGAAGAGACTTTATTAAAATAGTGTAAAAGCCACGCTTAAAGCAGATAAAATAAGAGCGACAAAATACGGTCCTTACTCAGCGACAGCAAAAGCAAAGAGGGCAGACACTGCGAACCCGAAGCAGTTCACATATGCATGCAGTGGTGGTCGGAGTCGAGTAACTGAATACAACTATTGGGCGAATTAGGGCTCAGACACCACACACCAATGCATATGCAATAACCAGACAAGAAATATAAATGAAAAACAATAAAAAATAGTACAACTCCAGTCCCACCACAGTATATAGGTATGTATTATAATTCTGGGGGTAGATGTACACAAATAAAACAACGACGATACACTCAGAATTTAAATGACGCAGAGGATATGTTTATTGTGCTCGACGAAGCGATACAATCCTGGTACAACAGCTCGCTTCCAGAACACTCGAAGCTTTGTTTCTGTTTCTATGTCTACGATCGGACGACGTCATTTGTATCGAGCGTCAGGTAACGATTCAATGAAAGGAATTACCTGCTTACGGTATTCGGTTACAAACTTATAATGGCAATACTTTTTCGTACCATTATATATTTTTTGACAGAGGATCAGCATATCAGCTGTATGAGGTATGCTTTCAGGTCAAGAAAATATAGTAATTCAGAAAACCCTTTTTTCGTTCGTCATGTCAAATTACCGGAATATCGTAATCGAGCGTATTATTTAATAGAAATACGAGGTTAAATATAAAAGCACTTATATTTATATAGATATTAATATCAGTATTTTAGAGCACATTTATTCTGTAAAATGGATGGGTTTCGGGTCGAAGCTTCCCTTGAGCATAAATCAAAAATATTGGATTCTTATTCGAAAATGAAAAATGCTGAGTTGCTCTTGGATTTTAATGTTGAGGTTGAAGGTACATTATTCCCAGTTCATTGCAGTTTATTGGCTGCAGGATCGGATTATTTTAAAGCCATGTTTCTTCATGACAAAAAAATTGTTGAGCAAGGTTTCGTGGAAATAAAAGAGGTTGGCGCTGAACCTATGATACGATGCATAGAGTTCTTATACACAGGAGATACAGATATAAACAAGGAAAATTGTCAGGATATCCTCCATGTATCAAGCATTCTGCAAATTGACGCTTTAAGAAAGCTTTGTTTCCGTTTTCTGCAAACAAATTTGTCTTCAGCAAACTGTTTGCTCGTTGCTCATTTGGCAGAGACCTACAATGACCTTCATACAAGAAATAGGGCAAAGGCACTAGTGGTTGAAAAATTCGAGGTAATAGTGACTACGGATCTATTTCCTTCCATCAGCCGAAGTGACCTTATCTACTACTTAGTTGAAAGTAGTGTAAGTTCACAAGTATCTTGGTCGGCTGTCACAACTTGGATCAAAACTAACCGGGACGAAGAAGATTTGGTCAAAGTTTTAGATGATGCACTAAAGGTCATGAAATTACCCATTCCATTTCTTCTGTCGACTGTTCTGGATGACGATATTTTTGACAACCGTACGATGATAAATCTAGTCTCAAAATGTGTGTTTACAAACACAGTGAACGTGAAAGAAAGTATCACTGCAAGCAATTGCATAAAACTAAAAAAGTTGGCTACTGAAATTCTTGGCGTCGATGAAAAGCCACTAGAGCTCATTAATCAATTCATTCTCGGCAATATTGAGGAAGTTTCCAAGTGTGCTGGTTACGAAGCTTTCGGCGAGGACACTCCCGAAGAATTGGAAGCAAAAATGATCAACTGCGTTTCTGATAAAGTAAAGTACGAACTACTATCGACGTGGGCTCATTTCAAACTTGAGAGACGTGCACATTTTTCTCGTTTGTTTAAACTTATCAAGCTCAAGGAACTCTCAATCAGATTTATTCAACAGACAATTGAAAGCGAAAAGTTGGTGGTACAATCTCCAAGTTGCATTGCATTGGTGGACTTATGCATATATGACGGCGATGAAGATTTTGATAGTGATGATGCCATTTATTGTATAAATGATTTGGAGAAATTAATCGATGATGACGAGTTCAAGTTCGTATCCGAAGAAGATTTAAAAATATATGTGAAATCAAAATTGCTATGCTCGGAAAGGAGATGGGAAGCAATGAAACGTTGGATGGAAAATAAAGACAACGCAAACGCATTGTTCAAAGATTTACTGATTGTTATTAGAAAGACTTCTTCGTTTGAGTTTCTTATCAATATAGTTGCAACTGATCCGTTTTTCGAGAACAAATATGAGCTAAAAGTTTTTACTGTCGGTCAAATTTTCTCTTCAATTTCAGAAGTTGGAGATTTATGTGACAAAATTAATTTGAATAATTGCTTTATCCTGAAAAATCTGAACGCCCAGTATAATAAAGTCAATAACGAATTTTGGAATTCAGAGATTGAAAAGTTGCTGACGATCCACGCACCACTTGTTCTCAGAAGAAAAGAGATACTGGATTTCAGTAAAGATGAAATCGAAAATCTGATACGAGTGACAGAGTGCAGTGCAGACGTCAAGGCTAAAGCAATACTAAGATGGGTAAAGCAAAAGTCAGAAAGAATTAATTCCTTTCCAGGCCTTTTCAAACTTATCAATCTACGACTTCTTTCATCTCCTACCGTTCGATCGTTGCAATCGGACCCCGCCGTTAGCCAACTAG